ACTTCCCACTATGGTTTCACCTGGCCAGCATTGCTGACTATTGCTATTTTTCCACCTGTTTTATGAGATATTTTAAGGCTTTGATTTGCCAGAGGCAACCAGGGACAAAACCACTGGATCTTAGTATACTAAGTTAACAAAAGAAACTATTGTTTCCCAGATTGGGAACAAATAAAACAGGGATATGCAACCAATGTTGGACTGAGGACTTACCCAGTCATTGTGGCTCATATTGAAGGCCAAACTTTAAAAGTTGAATGCAAGGCTTAAAGAATGTAAATCTGTAAATATTTTAATAGATTCCAAAGACAGGCGCAAGACTCAAGGCCCTATTTTCTCCTTCAAAATCCAAGAGGGGTTAAATGTTTTTGACCCCAGCCATTTTGGGGGTCTCTGTTAACTTCAAAACAGAGAGTCTGATAATCACATTGTTCCAATTCAGGTATAACAGGAAGCTAAGGTTAATAGGACTTCCTGATTTATCATGGAGAGCTGAAGAGGGAAAGCTTAAGCTTTTGGGCACAAGTCTTATGTGTAGTTCACCTTATTAAGAATAAATATTTACATATCATCTGTTCCATGGACTGCAAGAGAAGCTAATTTCTACAGTCAAACATCTACTGTAGGTAGATAATCTGGAAAAAAATAGTATATACACAGCCCCACCAACCTTTGCAACTCAGCAGTTCAAATTTTTGTGGTGTTTCATCATTCTGATAGGGGGGAAAAAATCTCTTACAGATCTGAGCTAAAACTGTTAGTTCAAATTACCAGAATTCTTCATTCCAGGGCCTAAAGTCATTAGAATTTTTCATTAATAGGAATTATCATTCCACGCTAAGCATTTATTCTATACATCTTGGGATCAGACTTCAAATAAACTTTTTTGAACATTTGAAAGGAAATTACAGATTGTCTCATGGGCAGGGAAGAATGTTAGCTGTAGAACTCAGAGACCCAGGTTCAAAATTCTTTGTTGTTATGATTAATAACACAGCTTTCTGTGTTACTGCCTTTCTGTTTAAGCTTTCTCTTTAGATTTGTAGGCAGAATAAAATAAGAGATATTTTAACTGTTTTCTGGCTCAGTAGTACAGTGAGGAAATACTGCTAGTAAATTCAGAATGAAGATTTGCGTGGTTCTGTGTGAAAATGGGGAAGTGTAATGGTATGTGGAAAAGACCTTGGGAGATGGGATGAAGAGATGCAACCTAGGGAATGGTCAGATAAGAGAGAGCATAGCCTGCAGCTGCATAATGGGTAGTGCAAGAGGCTCAGGAGGGACCCTCCCTAATTTTGGGGGATGTAAAGGTGATGGCGGGAGAATTGTACTTTCAGACTTTCAAGATTCTGTTAATGTAGCTTTACAATAAAGTAGAATTAGTTCTTCTGGTCGTGTTTCCTGTCTGGTCTACTGGTAAGGCTGACAGGAAGTAAACTTACCAGCCAAAATACCTGGTAATAATTTCAAATGAAAATAGTAATTTCACATCCTGATACAGTCCTTTTATTTTCAGCACTCCTTATTCAACATGCTCTTGTATTTTGTATGGATTGTATATAATGGATATAGTTAGTGTACTGAGGATAAAAGAATAAGCTTTAGGAATTAAAGTAGGGATAGACAGTGCTTGCAAAATTATGTCCATCAGCTCACAAAGAATTGGAAGTGACTGAATGACTAAGCAACAAAATAATGATACATATTTTTAAAGCCTCCCACAGGAAAATGATTTCTTTAATATATGATTTAAAGAAAAATGCTGAAAGTAGTATATATTAGAGAAATGTCTAATGGATCAACTCTTTGTTCAACCAGAGTGAAGTGAAACTCTCCTTTATACTTTTTGTGATAATGATTTATAGACACACAGTGTAAATACAGATTTTTCTAGCCAAGTAAAACCCATGACTAATTCTAGTGTCTAGATGCTAAAAAAAAAAAACCCCAAGCTCTTTTGATCAAACTGACTTGTCTCAGCTGAACATGAAAACGTCAGAAAACACATACATTATTTTATATGGAAAAGGTAATTAAGTTATCTTGTTTAGAATTTATTGGCTTGTCAGTGAACCATGCAAACTAATTTCATATTGTTTTTGTTAAATCATGAAAGAAAAACAATACTGATCTAGGAATTTCAGATTGTAATTGTTACAAATTATTCAGCTTCTAAACAGGTTTTTAAAATCTTAGTTTGTCACTTTTTCTCAGAGATGGCAATATTGTAGATGAATCTTCAGTCTCAATACAACTTTAAATTAAATTCCCTGAATAAATTTAAATTCCCAGAATAATTTAGGGATATACACCACCACCAGTGATAGTATCATATCTACAAAAATATGAATGGCAGCCTGTCATGGCATTTTCAAGCATATGATAGCTAAATAATATAAATATATATCTAAAGCTAGAGTAATAAACATTTGTTATGAGTTATATCAGAGGATGAGATGGTTAGATAGCATCACTGAAGCAATGAGCATGAAACTGAGCAAACT